GTTACGCCCCTACTAGCAGGTCTACTTGATTCTACACAGAGTCACATAGTTCATGCGTCATCAAGTGGAGTTTAAATGCCTCTTAAAACAACTCATTTGATGATACTGATCCATACTGTATGTCGACTGTACGTAGAATTTAAATCGAGTGAAAGTTATTGAATACAGATGCATTACTCCAATAGGTTCTGAACTTCAGAAATTCAAATTTAAAGAGTAATGAAGTTGAACAGTATCTTCTTTGCACATTCATCGTCTCTTTAAACTAGGGGTGCACCAAATCCAAATCCAGTCAAACCCAAATCCTGGGTTTGACTGAATTTGACTGGGTTTGGGTTTGGGTTTGATAGAATTTGACTTAGATTTGGATTTGGGTTTGACTGGATTTGGATTTGGGTTTGACAGAATTTGACTTATATTTAACTAGATTTGACTGGGGTCTGACTAGGGGTGGGAAGTTACCGTTACCAGTTACCGAGGAACGGGGTAACGGTCCCACTATTGGGAGATACCCTTGGGTCCTCAAGTGCTACTATTGGGGGGGTACCCTTGGGTCCTCAAGTACTACTATTAGGGGATACTCTTAGGTCCTCAAGTGCTACTACTAGTGGATACCCTTGGGTCCTCAAGTACTACTATTAGGGGTACCCTTGGATCCTCAAGTGCTACTGTTAGGGGGTAGCCTTAGTTCCTCAAGTCTTATTATTGGTGGGTACCCTTGGATCCTCAACTCCTATTATTGGGGGTTCCTTTGGATCCTCAAGTCCTATTATTGGGGTGCTTTTGGCTCCTCAAGCCCTAATATTGGGGGTACCCGAGAGGTTTCAAATTTTGTTCCCTTATTATGAGGGAAAGCGATGGGCATGTTCGGGCCAAACATAGGGTTATCCAAGGTGCTCTATCGATCGATGGGTATATGTAGGGGTCCCCACCCATCCCATCACTGAAAAATAGGACCCTGCCATTTGATTGGTCCAAAAATAGAACAATCATATTTCAGGAGCCCCTTGTTCTCTTATTGTAAGGACAACACATAGACATGTTCGGGCCGACCATATGGCTATCGCGGATGCTCTATCGATAGATGGGAACATGTATGGGCACCTACTCAGTGCAACACGGCGAAAATTCAGCTTTGGCATTTGCCTTTGAGGACCCAAGGACACCCGAATAATAGGACTTGAGGACCCAAGGGTACCCCCAATAATAGGACTTGAGGACCCAAGGGTACCCACAATAATAGGACTTGAGGACCCAAGGGTACCCCCAATAAGAGGACTTGAGTACCCAAGGGTATCTCCTAATAGTAGTACTTGAGGACCCAAGGGTATCTCCCAATAGTGGGACCGTTACCCCGTTCCTCGGTAACTGGTAACGGTAACTTCCCACCCCTAGTCAGACCCCAGTCAAATCTAGTCAAATATAAGTCAAATCCAAATCCAGTCAAACCGAAATCCAAATCTAAGTCAAATCCTGTCATACCCAAATTCAAATCCAATCAAACCCAGTCAAATCCAAACAAAGAATTGGATTTGGGTTTGACTTGATTTGGATTTGGATTTGATGCATCCCTAAAAGCAACTATTTCCAACGCCTGGTGTGAGTGTTATTGACGTATTTTTGTAAGGATCAAAAACCGGCTTGCACAAGCAAGAATACACACAGCCATTACTCGTAAATGTACATGAGTAATAACTGTTAATATAGTTTGATCCAGAACACAGATAACAGGGAGTGTCTAAACAGCAACACATTTAATCGTTAGAAATAAATCTTTTTAAACTTAATTCTATTTATTTGAAAGCTAAGATACGATATGGAAGTTTGGAATATGTTCAAGCTTCGAACTATATGCATAAATCTCGAGAGTACTATATTTTGTTCATCTTTGACTATCCTGTCAAACAAATCGTCTCTGAAATAGTGGCGACACTTGACTTTTATTTTACTAGTACTTAGGTAACTTATAAAAGACTAAAAACAAACCGATCCGAATCGAACTCAAATTAATTTTCAAAAAGTTAGTTAAACGGAGTCAAGCCTGAAATGAAAAAGTAATTGATTGAATTATAATCGGTTTTGTAAGAGTGTAATGCGGTCGGCAAAGTTAATTTTAATTTACATATAACAGTCTTTTTTTAACTTCATTGCAGTTACATTAATCGTTGTTTATGACGATGCGCCAATTCTATGCTACGTAATTCTTTTATTTTCTTCTCTTATAAAATTTTTTCATTTTTTGGTATTTCGATGAATAATCGTTTGTAACCATGTGATATTATATATCAATACTAAAAATGCTGGTAATACTTATGTACTAATATTAAAAATCTTTATTTTAGTCTACAAATGTATAAAACAGTATTAATTGACATCAATATCAACTCTAATATGGCATCCTGATCGTCCAAGAAGGAAGTTCTAACCTATCATCTACTCTTGGTTAGCTAGAACTACGGCTACTCGAATCGAACTGAATCTGAATTAATTTTTCAAAATCAAAGACGAGTCCAACTGAACTCGAACAAGCAAAATCCAGTTCGAATCAGTCTCTGAAACTTATAGTAATTTAGCTGTCAGTAACCTGTAGATCATTAAATGGCTTCTAACTTAGTAGCTTGTAAATTATTGAGTTATTAGTAGCCATTTATTAATGAGTAATCTAGTCCCTAATAACCTACAATTTATTCAACAGAAAAGTAAAGTAAATGTGCCAACTCAACTAAGAAGCAAACGATTTATCGTATACAATTTTTACGAGCAAGTATTTTTCTCTCTTTTCCCTTCGTTCTTCACCTCTTTATGGGACAGAATCAATGAATATACACAGATAAGTAAGAATTCATAAATCATCTCGATGACTACCTTTTCTAGAAGAATGTATATTGCACTAAAAGTGCAAACATCAATAGGCAACAAGGCAGAAACGAATGACCTTGCTGTCAACTGGAGACAGTCTATGAAACTGTATTCATTCTGTAATTGGCTCGTACACAATGTCACTCCACTAACGGAAGATTAGCATCGGTATAGAACGAGAATCAGATAAAATCACTAATTGGCTATAAGACTATTTCTACGTAAAAATATTTCTCTCTTTCAGCGCATGATATGAGCAGCGAGACACACAGACGACGTGTGATTGAATTCAAGAAAATTGCTGTTCATTCGAACGTGTCATTAGGAGAGACCTCTTTAGAATAAATACGAAAACAATAGTTGAGATTTTCCTCGAGAAAATCAATGAACAACACAAATACATCGGTTCACTGTTAAAAATATTGCTACAAAAATTGTTACTAGGTCATCACTATCTTATTCCACAAATGTACTGAGAAAGGAAATGTTTTTGAAGCGATTAAATCTGCTTAAATAGTTTGTATATCAAAAGATGCTGTTTATCCAGTCGAAAGTCGGATAAGACATACCGTTTTGTTGCCGAATCTTGAAAAGCGATTCAAAAGATGCATTCATCAGAAAAGGGTGTCGATGTATGTATTCTCTTCACTGATATCCAGTTTCACACTCCACTCTCATATCCCTATTTACAACTGCACCCACATCCACACTCAGCTGCAATCAGGATTGCAAATTCAAATCCTTTTCACTATTTCCCTTCCAAGTAGACCTTAAAAAACTAACGATGGATACGATGGATACTCGAAACTTGAAGATATGTATTTATTCTGGTTCTGTTCGAATTTCGATCTTCTCGATAGTCACCGAATATCGAGCCTTCAGAAATATTCTCCTATCATTCATTCATTTTCTAACTACTCAAACAGATTTCGACTACTTGGAGAGAGAATATCTATCAGTCAGAGACTTTCGATTACTCGATGCAATTTCGACCACTTCAAGATGATCGAAATTTTAAGTGTTGACTAAGACCAAAGCTATCGAAAACAAATTTTCGATTGATCGGTTTAAGTTTTATTGTACGAAACTTGTTTAAAAACCGATTTTTGTACACATTTCTACGCACTCTGAACATATGAATAAAAATATTTAATATCTGGATTTAGAATCATATGATGCATATGTGCACACACTTCATAAGAACGTAATCATAATGAATTAATAGCTTTTTAGTTCTTCCTAATTTTGAAGTTCTTGAAACTACATTGATTTTTGGATTTTCGATAACAAAGAACTAGTCGATGGAATAATTCTGAATTGCTACTTTGTTTTTCTGTCTCTAAAACTGTTGAAATAAATCCATATCCTAATCTTAAAATGGATCAGCCTAACCGGATTTATCATGTTTTTAGTTTCAATATTTTTTGGCTATTTTTTTTATTGCAACAAATTATAATGCAATTGTTGCTTAACACATATGTCTTTTGCTTAATACAATGAAACTCATAATAGACAGATTTATTTTCTCAATCATTAATAATAACAATATTCACAATTGCAAAAAAATGATCAAAATTATATATTAAAAGAAAATTAAAATAAATTCCAAGTCATAATATACTTGATGATGAAACATAAGTTTATCTACGATTGAAACATCACGTTTAGTGCATCTGTCCTATACAAGCTTCGTAATCGTAAGTACACATGTTTTAATCTTCTGTTCGGCAAAACTGTTCGATAGATGTCGAGGGGTTGAAAAACCAGTTGTACAGAAATCAAAAAATTTTTTGAAACTTAAAAAAATTTCGAATGGTTGAAGTTTCGACTGTTCGAACCTCTACGAGTTTTATCCATCGAAATCTATCAAGAAAGATTCTCCGATGATTATTAAAGCCCTCCATCGATCCCTTGAAGTGTCACTTTCTTATAGATCCATTGAGCGATCGACGAAGGCTGAACAGTTTTTGATTATTATGAACTCATCAGATAACTCAGATCGATGCCTCGAAATGTCTATCAACTAACAACTTGGGATGCGAGGAATCTTCACTAAGCTTTGCCATAAATTCTTAATCTTTTTCTGAATAATATCAAAATATGAATACTTTTGGTTGTACAGAATGATAGAACTCTACTATTCATATCGTACAATAAGCATCCGACTCACCAGTTGTAAATGATGTTGTAATCGTGCTAGTAGTTGATTCAAAACTAGTAGTTGAGTCTGATGATGTAGTCAACGATGAGAGGCTATTGCTGGTAGTAATAGAAACTGAGCCTACGGTGCTACTTGTAGTATCACTAATAGAAGACATTCCGCCAGTAGTAGTTGCGTTTGTTCCCGATACAATGCTAGTTGTAACTGATGTACCGCGTAGACTTGTTGATGAAGAATCAGTGGTGTTGGCAACTATAACAAGAAATTTGACATTATTTTTGGATAGCAAATCTTTACTAACTATACGAATCATTCGTTTGATTCCTTGATAACTTAAACAGTAAGACAAGTCCTATGATAAGACCAGCTGCCAATATTAGGATTGTCATTATTATTCCCCATTTACAACATGATGACATTCTAGAAAATCAAAATGAAGGACCTGTTTATTCTCTATTACAATGACTGACGACTTCAAAGTTGCTGCTGATTGATTCCATCTCTGAGACTTTTTGGAATACAATTTTGATCTTTTAATCGATGGAACTTTATCAATTTCATCCAAATTAACAACAACGTTATTGATTGACATCGTTTCTGGTTGTCGTGGTCGGTTGGTGATGATCTACAAAATCAATAACAAAATTTGTTTATCGTCATATGGAAGAGATCAATGACTTAAATGAACCTTTTGAGGCAAAATATGACGATTATAGTAGCGGCTTGGAACTGCGTTATTTATCGCCATGATGTATCGACGATTTCAAACGAAAATAGCAAATTAAATGCACAGTTGCAGTTTCGTCTCTCTATAAATACGGATTGTTTTTTCAATTTCTTTGATGAATTCTGCTTTATAATTATTATTTTATGATTTTATTTTGTACAAGTCAATCATACATTATGCATTTGTTTTGATAAAAAACTATAGGTAGCATAGTGTATGTCTGTCATGTACATTAAAGTCGCAATCCAAAGAATAACTACTCAAAGAAGCCTTGACAAGGACCACTCTATGTATACATGCATTAAATGACGAGATATTTGGCTTTTTGTTTACACAACTTTCATTTGTTTCTTCGCCATTAAGAACAATCTCTAATTATTATCAATTCAGCAACAAAAGCAAACAATAAGAGAGTATGGATGCGACAATGGCAGAATTTTATTCATGTTTTTTTCTCTTCAGGAGGCTTTTTATAATCTCGATGAGGTAGACAAACACAGTGAAATTTTGCCAATGTGCGCATTTTGATAACACGTTGAATAGATTTTTACTCATTTCTATAGCTATTTATCGCTTGACGATATCTTTAAAAAATGGATATTCTACAATTTTTGTGGTGGAAATTGAAACCTATGTAAATTTTTCTATACTGCTCTACTCTAGGAGGCATTGCACGTAAGCAACGACCATTTCCTGACAACCTTGCTCAATCGATCTCACCGATTTGGCTGATATCTTCACAGTAGGTAGGCCTAATATATTTACGAAGAAACCCAAAATTTCAGCTCAAATGGATAAGCCAGTATGGAGATATGGTGGGCGCAACTATTGGGGGGTAGGTCATTTTTGGTGCCTTTTGTAGTGCAATACGTTTCAGTAGATTTGCATTTTCTCAACAACGATAAGAGCTATAACAGAAATTTTTTTACCATAGATACTATCGATCATGGGCTATCTTTTGATGAGATTGAAAATACCTTTTCATTGGATTTTTTTCGATCGGCATTCTATACCATTTTCAGAAACTGTTTCTAAGTATGTATAAGGACTTAGTCATATCAGCGCGATAGAATAGTTTGAAAATAGTCTCATCTGAAAGAGCACATCAAACTGCGTCGAGTGGCGTTTTCAAAAATTTGTAGAAATGAACTTTGGTAGCAAAAATTTTCTGAACAAGACTATGAAGACCAAATTTGGGCCCCGACTCTCCCGATGAAGATTGACGATTTATTTACAAATATTCGATTTAAGTGTTTCAAATGAAAGCCCATGGTGAGAAACCTCTAAATCCAAAATTTCAGTTCATTTGAGCGTGCCTATGAAAAATGGTGAAGGAGTTACTTTTTAAAATTTTATAGGGTAATATATATAGTCCGTCTAATCTTTCTCATAGTCGTTTTTCAGCTAAAATGCAACCAAAAGATCTGAAATTTTCACCATAAACTATTCTTATCGGGTCCTTAATATACACAAAGTTTCAGGCCAAAATTCGAA